AATTTCTAAGAAACAATACCTGGTTTCACATCAAGTTATCTATGATTTTTTTTTACTACAGTATATGTATGACTGCTTAATTTAGGGGAATTCATCTCCTTGTATTAGCAAGGCCTTGTTTATTCTTGTTTGATACTTATATTCCTTATTTATTTTATTTACATTATTTAATTGTAAAAGTTCCAAATAGTACCCCAAATATTGATAAATGTTTAAATTAGTCTCAAAGTTTTGTATTGCTTCAATTTGGTCTCTCAACTATTAAAAATTGGCCAATTTGGTCCTTAGGAATGATTTTTTGTTTAAATTAATAGAAAAAGCTTGAGAGATTCATTTATTTGTGGGCATTTAGGTAGAATGACTTGTTACTTGTTCGACGCCTTCCCATTATAAGCCCTCGACGCCTTCTGAATTTACGCCTTGGAGATCGATTTGTGCAAGATGAAGCTCATAGAATGAGGCGCGAGCGACCCAGGGCAATGTGAGCGAGCAAGGCGTGCTTTTATTCGCATTCCGGATTTGCATGCGGCTGCAAGATAGATGACACACCAAGAGCGAGACACCCTACTGGGCTGTTTGGATATAGGAAGAAATATGGCTACCTTCACAGCAAGCAAGCTCCTGGTGTTACTTCCAAATCTACAGAAGAATGATGAGGAAGTGTTACTTTAGATCTGAATTGAAGGAACGTTGTCGAAGGAGGCAAAGAAGTTATTTAGTTACTCGTTCAAAACTCTACCTCTCACGCGAAGCAGGCAAAATCAAAGAGCAGCGAACAACTGGAGAAGAGGAAAAGCAAACTCGCGGCTATAGCCAAATAACATAACAGACATTGCCAAAGAAATATAACATAGGAACAAATTAATTTAGTTTAACTATTTTAATTAAAATGAATTAAGAATATGATGTAATTAATAAATAATTAATTACTTAGATTAATCGATAATTAACTTAGATTTTAATTATATTATTTATAATGGTTTGTTAATAATTGATAATTAACTCATAAATAATTCAAAGAGCAACGAACAACTAGGTAAGAGGAAAAGCAAACTCGCGGCTATAGCCAAATAATAGAACAGACATTGCCAAAGAAATTAACTCATAAATAATTAAAAAAATAATCAAATTTAAAATTAATAAGTTATTTCATAATTAAATTATTTTCTAATTGTATTATTTTTTTAATTATCATTTATTGATAGTAATTAAAATTAGAATTAAAATGTAACTTTATTTAAAATTTAAATTACAATTAAAAACAAATTAAATTTGATTTTTTAATGAACTAAATGATATAAAATTGATTTGTGATATTTTTTTATATTTAAATGATATGAAATTGCAAATTTTATCATGTTAGATTTTGCTTTAAAAATATATATATTTTTTACTATTTATTCACCCTTATTATTTTGTAGATTAGATATGTGTTATAATTTATTAAATGATAAAATTGAACAATATAAGTAATGCAATCTCATAGCCACTTGTAATACCTAAAATACCCTTCATATTTAATTTTGGTGTTAACTTTAACTCTTATTTTATGCTTTGGAACTAAATTGACTCAATTTTTAATAGTTGAGTGACTAGATTGGAGCAATATAAAACTCTAGGACTAACTTGGACATTTCCAAGTAGGTATAACCCTATCTTTTTACTTGCCTAATCATCTTCCTCAAAATACACAATGATTAGTAAAAAATAATACCTTGCAATAGTAATCTTTGGTGACTTTATGAATAGATAGAAGATTTACTATAGGATTAGAACATGTAACACATTGTTGAGAGTAGATGTAGGAGAAACAAGAATATTTCAGTGACCTACCCCAGTGATTAAGGTTGTATTGTTGGGACAAGTTTTGTAGGTTTGAAAAGTGTTGGTAGCGGTTGCCATGTGATCGACGGCTCCTGAATCTACCATTCAAATTTTAGGAGAACTACTTGAGGCATTAAAATACAATAGTTAGAATTCATAACATTTTAAACTAGAGAGTATGAGTCGAAAGATTTTTCTAGGGAGTTGAAACCGTAGCTTATTAATTTCTCATAAGTTGCGTCTTGGATCAATGAGACAAACTTGCTCTTTCAATTGGTCTCTTTTTTTTTTCGCCATAGCCATAAAGTTTTCTGTGGCGTTTCTATTAATTCTCTTTGATATGCTTTTTCTTATTGCAGTAATTGCACCATAGGTTGCTTTTAAAAAATATATTTTTCCCTTCTTTTTGGGAAGAGTAAGCATTATCACCATTCTTATTAAATGATCTCCGACCCCATGTAAGAAATTCTGTATGCATACATTCCACTCTAGCTTGTCTCACCCACTTGAATGCGCCAAATATCCCTCCAAGTCACTAATACGTGGATGCGGCCTCCCTTTTTTGTTTCTGTCATATAAAGGAATTAAATCATGGAATGAATGGGTAGTTAAACTTAAGTTGATTCCACTAATTTCTTTCTTGTTTCGTTCAAGTCATCAATATGTGGGATTTGTATTCTCAACACTCATTACAACCAATAATTAGCACGCATTATGCCTTTAAAATTGGCATTTCAAACCAATGTGAACTCTATAATCATCTATGAATGTAAAAAATATATGAAAAAACTAGATTACGACATAGAAACATTGTGAAAACTCATTCCATTATTATGGCCTATTATTTATCTTGATCAAAATATTAGATCAAAATGTATGCTTCACTCAAAAATGATTTGAATGTGCAGACTTCATCTTCTAACCCCTAAGAATGCTGATAAACTTGTCCACAGCTATGATCGGATAAAATACCCTCCAATTGTATTACTCGTCTCTTTGATGAGTTTCATGTCTGTCTTCCTGACAACAGATCACTAAAATTACCCCCATGCCCTTCAGAGACGATAAGTTGTAAAATGTATGATGTGGATCCAATCATGGCCTCTAGTACTTCATCTCAAATATGTTCTCCAGCTTCTATTATTAGTGAAGGGCAATTTAGAAATCTGAAAAATAACTAATGAATAATTAGCACACATTATGCCTTTAAAGTTGGCATTTTAAACCAATCTAAACTCTATAATCATTTATGAATGTTCAAAATCTATGAAAGCACTAGATTACGATATAGGAACCTTGTGAAATCTCATTTCATTATTATGGCTTATTATTTATCTTGATCAAAACTATTAGATTACAATGTATGCTTCCCTAAAAATGATTTGAATGCATAGAATTCATCTTTGAAACAATAAATGAAGCAATGTTGATAAATTTCCCAAAGCTATGCTCGGGATAAAATACCTTTTAATTACATTACTCGTCTCTGTGATGAGTTTCAAGTGTTTGTCTTCCTTACCACAGATCGCTAAAATTGGCCCCATGCCCTTGAGAACGATAAGTTACAAAATGTATGATGGAGCTCCAACCATTGTCTCTAGTACTTCATCTATCTCCTATATGTTCTGCGGCTTCTATTGTTAGTGAAGGGCAAGTTAGAAATCTGAAATTAACTAATGATTCCTTTATGGAAGTACCTCATTGAAGCACAAAATTAAACTTAGGGGACCATTTGTATTTTTTTTAAAAAACATGGTTCTATGTTAAGTGACCCCGTAATCGCAAGTAGCTGAGTTTAATTTAATATAAAATTTATAAATTTTAAGTCATATATGGTAAGGATGAATATTTTGAGTAATTACTAGTACATGAATACATTACTTGAAAGTGCTACGGATCTGTCCCAAGGCATGAACTAGGCCATCATGGAAGTTTATGTGGCTGGTTGTATCTACCAGTTTAGGGGTCATATTTGGTCTTATTCTGATTTTTTTTCATCTAATATGCTAACTATACTTATTAGTATTGGATGCTCATTAGATGCTGATGTAGGCAAAGGGGGGGTCAAATCAAACCCAAAAATATTTGGTTTTGACTTCCCTTGAGCTTACTAGCTCAATAAATCTTGAGCTGGAATTTAGCTCATTTATGAGCTGGTTTTTAGTTCATTTATTGAACTAAGAGTTAGCTCATTATTAGCTAGATTTTAGTTCATTAATTATCTTAATTATGTAATTTTTATTTATAGTTTTTATATCTTAAATTTTAGTTTGTCCCTTGGGATTCCAAAATGGCTTTTGGAATCCCTAGGTTGGTTGTTTTCCGTGCTTGGCTCCTTGGCTTCCAGGTTGGCTATTTCAGTGCCTTGGCTCCTTGGCTTCTTCGGTGGTTACTGGTGTTTCGTGTTGGGTGCCTTTTCCGTGCCTTGGTGCCTCGGTTCCGTGCTTGGCCTCTTGGGTTTTCGCGACTGCCTCTTCGGGCCTTGGCTGGGCTGTTTTCCTGTGAAGTTTTGGGGGGGGGGGGTTTCCGTTTTGTGTTGCTTGGATTCCTGTGGGAATTCAATTATGTTGATGTTTGTATTCCCCTTTCATACCTATAAATATGATAGGTTTTGTAAGTTTTAAAGAGAGTGATATATTAATTTTTGAAAAGAAATCATTAGGATTTTCTTGGAAGAGATTGCGAGCTTTGTCCACCTTCTTCTCATCTCTTCTAGGAAAGACTTGCGAGTACTTTCCACCCTTATTCTCGGCTTCTAATCTCTTTCGTCTCTCCGCAAGTTTACACCCCACCTGTATCCTTCTTAGGGTGTCTTGGTTGAGTCAAGTTTGTAAAAGTCTTGTCTTGGTTGAGTCAAGTTTGTAAGAGTCTTGTCTTGATTGAGTCAAGTTTGTAAGTGTGTTTTTTCTTATTTGAAATGTAAGAGTTTGTTCTTCCCTATAATTAGCTAAGTGTGTTGTCTTTTTTTTTGTGATCAAGAATTTTTCTTGGGGTCCCTCTCCCCAGGGAGATTTTTGCTCGAATCAGATGCATGTACGATTAATCTAGTGAATAATCCGCTCTTTTGTTAAACGGAGTATTTCTACATAATTTCATATATTTTGATTATGTTTCTTCTTTAACTATATGGCATATACTATTTTATGACTTCTATCTAATGATCTGTCCATGAACAGGTACTTAGAAGGGCATGCACGATTTTATCGCCAAACAATTATTTTAGGCTATTTAGTTACTCCAGGTAATGGTTTCTTGTGAATTCAAATAATAGAATACATGATTGATTCCAAATTATGTTTCCTTTAACCTTTTTGTGAAGTGGCCAACCATTGGTATAATTTTATCTCCCAAAATTGTGTTCGTGCGGCATGGTTGCTTTTATTTTATTTAGTATTTTCCCCTCCAAACTATATCCTTTATGTTAATGAGATTCGACTTATCAAAAGCTGCAAGTATCACCATGCTTCAGTTTTATTGTTGCTGTTTTAAAAAAAAAATACTATTTCTTCTAAAATTCTGTTACAATAATCTATGTATTTGTTGTTTGTCTTGTTCTTCACTTAAGCATTACATTTCCTTTAATATTTTCTATTCTAATTATGCGTCGTCCACAGTATTCTATACAGAAAAGAAAAAATAATCTTGCTTCTAATTTTTAATTTTCTCCACTACCTTAACTTGATTTGGCATTTTGGTTGACCTTATCTTATATAATTGATGTGATTGGTTCAATAGGTCAATGCTAACTAAACTAGAATTAACTGAAGTTATAGTTTTGAAAATGAATTGCAAGGTCAAGCTCAACTCATTCCAAATGGAAAAAATTTACAATGATGATGTTAATAGTGTATTAATGTGTATCTTCTTATTTTAGCTTACATTGCAAATTTTGTTGTCTATTTAACATTATTGAACGTGTGCTTAATGCTATTTTCTTAACTTTGAAACACATGCTAAATGGCAGATTTTTTTTAATGCTGTTTTGTTTTTTTTTTTTAACATAACAAAAATATGTTTTATAATACAAATTTTATTGAAAACATATGCGATAATATAAAAAAAGTAATTTATACATATGTAATTTTTGTAATTAACTCTTTAGGTTATAATTATTATTAAGTATTATTAATTTTTTGTTATTTAAGGTTATCACTATAATTTATAGTGACTAATAAATCATTTGATTAATTAAGATTTTAATTTGGTGTATATATTTAATTAGTCAAAATGAAATTATAATTTATATTTTCATTATAACAAGTTTAATTATTATCTTAATTAAAATTCGAATTAACTATATGTAATTATTGGTTACTATAAGTAATTAGGTGATCCCTGATTAAACTAAGTGAATAGTTAAATATTGAATGCTCTAATCAATCATTAGTTTATTAATTATTTCAGGATTAACTGTGATAATGATGTGAAACAAACAGGAATTGCAAGGAAATAATGAAATTATCATAAAGCTTGCTACTTTAAGATTAATGAGCCACAAGAATTAATTTCAGGAATTCTCAATTGACATTTTGCTTTGGTATGCAGTCGCAATTTTTTGGAGAACAAAACAACTTAAAATAATATTAGAAAATACAGTAAAACTAAATGTGCCGTAATAAGAATCCACAGATTAATATTTAAAACTTTCACCTAAAGTTTCCTTCCTCACTCACACTCGATGAATGGCTTTAGCAGAGAGAGACTTTCAGCAAAACAAACGAAACCACTAAGAGAGTTAGGACGCCTACGGTCTTGATCCACAGGAAGGTAGCCAGAGAAGGAGGTACAGGTGGATGTCTGATGAGTTCCCACTGTCCGGGTGGTCGTTGTCCGTCGATCATCTCGGCTAGATGAGATAGTATGCGGTTGATGTACTCTTCGATGGAATCTTCAAATTCCCAGTCGGGGTCGAAGAATGGCGACTGAAAGATATCAATTTGTCCTTGAGAATCGTACGCAAATCTGTGGTCGACTTCAGGATCGACCATCCATGAACGTGGGAAACTTCTTTATTGTGAACCTTGGGGGAGCCGGCGGTTTGTGAAGGGAGCAGGGAGAGAAGGAGCCGACAGTGGGGATTCTTAGGTAGAGAGGAAAAGGGTGGGCAGCTAGGGTTTAGAGCTAGGGAGGTGGGCAAAGGACTTAGAAAATCTGAATTTTATTTCAGAATTTTCTAAGAGAGGAAAAGGGAATAATTTAAACTCCAAACTATCCCAAATATAGCTCTAGGGGTCGGCGGCTATGGGCTTTGGATGGCAGCCGACGGCTGGAGGAGCCAAGGGAGGCCGACGTCTATGGGGTGGCGAGGGGCTCGGTTAGAGAAGAGAAATAGGGGAATATGGGGAGAGCAGGCCGGTGGGTGTTGGGAGACGGTGAGGTGGCCGGAGGTGCGGGGAAAGGGAGATAGATGAGCTGCGAGTCTCAGACTCTTCCAAAGACTGACGGGTATTGCAATTACCCTCACCTAGGGTGCTTTTTCTTCTCTCAAAGCTCACCACAATGAAGAAGAGAAAAGCTCAAAATTTTATTCATCAAAATCATCATCCCAAATATAATAGAAGGGGCCTTATATATAGGCCTCAATATAAAAAAAGATAATGACTAAATTTCCCATAGGGCTACAATAGCAAACCAACTACCCATAGGGGTAAAATAGGAAAAACTGAAATATAAAATAACAACACATAAAAATGCTTAAAAAATAAAGGCTTCTGATCGTGGCCATCGATCTCTGATGCCTCCTCTGATAAACGCGCCAGAATCTCTTGTTGATGTCCTAAGCAAATAATTAATAATAATTACTTATAAGTAAACTTAATTAGAAATTTATTTAATCTTTAGCTAGAAGAAATGACTCATTAATTATTTAATATTATTATTAATTAAGAAATAAATTAGTTACCTGATTTTTATTTTATGTAATTTGATACAATTAAAGTCCTTATAATTTTAATCAAATCAAAATTCATTTCTCATTATCTTCAATATTTAAATGCTATTAGACTAATTTAGTTTTTTTTGAGCTATATATTTTAATTAAAAATTCTAAGAAACTTAATGATGTTAATTAAAATTGTAATTTATCTCTAATTACCCTGAATATTTAATGAAAAAAATTATTTCAATTGATTTACTAATTTAGACATAATTATCATAATTAAGTACTAAAAAAATATTAATGATTTTAATATGTGCTAATTTACCCTAATTAATATCTTATTAATTTAAACTGTTAATAGGCATGTTTTTTAAACTTGTGAAACATGCTTTTAGGTGTTTTCATATTTTCAGGAAGGAAAAATTATGCACATGCCACTCAAATTATGCATGTTTATAAGTTTAATTCTTTAAACTATGGAACCTCTGCATTTGCTTGTTGACAAGCAAATTGTTGAGAGTTTGATATAAGCAAAAAGAATGGGCTTGGTTTATTATAAATTTTTATATTTGGATAAGAATTTGATAGATATATGCATGAAGATGATTGTTATATAAATAGAAAGAAAATGATCAAAATAGTCCCTTTATTTATGAAGGTCAAAATGATAACAAATTATATAAAGATCCTTATTTAGTCTCCAATATCTTTCAATAGGGACCATGATGGTCTCGCTGTTCAAATTGGTGGGATTTTTGTTTTATATCACACTTACCCCTATTCTGAGACGGATGGTTGAGCATGAGACAAGTAAGCATAGCTTCCTCGGAGCTGGAGTGGGACTACCACAGAAGGTTGGTGATGCAATCAAGGCTAGCTATTTTATATTTTCTTTATTTTCCACTAGTGTTTCTAGCTCTCTCCCCCGTGGCTTCTCAGAATTTCCCTGATGTCTTCTCATTTTTCTCTGTTGTCTACTCGTTCTCCATGCTGACTGTTTGAATTCCCTGCTGCTGTTTGGTTTCCTCTTGTAGCTGCTCGGATTCCCTGCTGTTGTTTTGTCTTGATTTCCTTGTTGTTGGCTGCTCATCTTTTGCTCCTTGTTAATCCCTATAAATGATGTTTTTACTTCCCTTCATGGTGGCTGTTTTGGGTGTATTTTATTGGCTGCTTTGGTGGCTCCTTTAGGAGAGTATTTAATGCATTTTCCCCCATCCTCTCCTATATAATGTGGCTGATTTTCTTTGTGAGAAATATTTGTGATGAATTTTTGGAATGTGAAACCTACGGGTTTTTAGCTTGCGAGTTATTCTCTTCTATCTTCCCTCCACTAATTCTTCTTTGACTTCTATCGATTTCTTCTCTCCACATTTTTCATTCCATCTGTATCTTTCTTCTCGAAACTATTAGAAGTTATAAGTGTTTTTGTGTCTTGTTTTATTGTAAGTATTAAGGTGTTGTTGTGTCTTGTTTTATTTAAAGTTGTAAGTGTTGTTGTATCATGTCTTATTGAAAATTGTAAGTGGCATTGTGTCATGTTTATTGTTGTGTTTGTTTAAGTTATATTGAAAGGAAGTTTATAATTTGCATTCCTAGAACAAATGTTGTTTTTTAGGTTGCATCATTCAAACTGACAAACCAAACCAAGATATCCATAACTTTTTATCAACAAATTGGCTGTGGAGTTGCAACATCGTCGTCCATATATCTTCCAGCATGTTACTGAGGCATTCTCATCAGGAGATGAGATTATTCCACCAGGAGAGAATTGATGCAATCAAGGCTCTCTATTTTATATTTTTTTTCTTAATTTTTCACTTATGTTTCTAGCTCTCTATCTCTTGTGGCTTCTCTTAATTTCCTTGTTGTCTTTTACTTTTTCATGTTGTCTTATCATTTTCTCTATTGCCCACTCGTTTTCCTCGTTTACTGTTTGAATTCCTTACTGTTGTTTGGTCTTTTCCTTATTGTTGTTTGGTCTTCTCATGGTGGCTGCTCAGTTTCCCTACTATTTTCAGATTCCCTGCTGGCTCGGATTCCCTGCTGTCTCGATTTCCTTGCTGTTGGTTGCTCGTCTTTTGCTCCTTGATGATCCCTATAAATGATTTTTTTACTTACCTTCATGGTGGTTGTTTTGGGTGTATTTTATTGGCTACTTGGTTGGCTCATTTAGGAGAGTATTTAATGCTTTTTTTTTCCTCTCATATATAATGTGGCTGATTTTCTTATGAGAAAGAGATTTGTGATGAATTTTTGGAATGTGAAATCTATGGGTTTTTAGCATGCAAGCTATCGTCTTCTACCTTCCCTCTACTAATTCGTCTTGGACTTCTATCTATTTCTTGTTTTCACAATTATCATTCCACCAGTATGCTTGTTCTCGAAACTATTAAAAGTTGTAAGTGTTACTTGACATGTTTTATTGTAAGTTGTAAGGTGTTGTTGTGTCATGTTTTATTGAAAGTTGTAAGTGTTGTTGTGACATGTGTTATTGGAAGTTGTAAGTGATGTCGTGTCTTATTTATTGTTGTATTTGTTTAAGTTATATTGAAACGAAGGTTGTAATTTGCATTCCTAGAACCAAGATTATTTTTTAGGTTGCATCTATTGGAGAAGGGATGAGTAGTAATATTACCTCTCTTAGGAGCCAGCCGTACTAGACTACTGTATTTGTTCCTGTGCTCGATGAAGCTTCTCCGACCATAAGAGATGAAGAGGAGTGGACAAAAAATCCCCCTAATAGCGATAAAGAGTGAAGATTCCCTCGAGCAACGATGAATAGGAGAAACCAAAGCTTCCTAAGCACGGTGACTAGTATTGTATTTTTTATTTTTTTTATATGGGGTATTGAACATATTGGCAAGATCTAGATACTTAAATCTACTAACATATTCAAAAAGAAAAAAATATATTAAAAAATCCCCATTTTTAACACCCTTAGTTCTAATTTCTATTAGTTGGATGGCAGGACCATTTTGGTTCCTATTCAAAAAGGCTATGGACTAAATTGAGATTTTTACATTGTGGGGACCATTTTGTTCTTTTATAGATAGTTTGGGGAACTATTTTGATTATTTTCTTAATAAATTATTAAGATTTGTGTGTGTTCTACATGAAAGTGCCCTTTAGGAAACATCCATTTTATTTAATATAAGGAACAAGAAATGAAATAACTTGTCGTACATGTTTCATCTACTTAAGTTCATCTTTTTTAAAATAGAAAAAAAGAAAATCAAATGTGCTTTAGTTTTGATGTTTTCGGTTGTTTTGACATTTTGGCATCTATTCAATGTCATTTTTATTCATCTTTTATAATTGATGTTTCAAAATTTTTTTATTTTATTAAAATTTAATTTATTTTAATTTGTTAAAATAAAAAATTTAAATAATAGACAATTTCTATGCTTGCGTTATATGTACAATGAGTATTGTAATGTCAGTATTTGTCCTGGCATTAACTGACTTAAACATGATGATACTTCTGAATGAAGGAAAGAGTCATATATTCAGCTTTGATCTTTTAATTTATTTACATGTAACAATTATTATCTGTATTAGTAATTCTGATAATATCAAATAATTGAAATTCTTTTTATTTATAAATATGATTAATTTTGTAGTGAAGAAGTGTGTTATTTTGGTTTTTGTGACCTTATTTAAATAGCTAAAAAATTATAATCAAGGAGTTATTACTCGCTAAATAATGATGTTGACACTTACTAGGTATTTAGCTAAATAAGAAGAAGCACTTTGGCTTGATTGTAAACTTTTATGGAAACATTGGGGTAAGGTATGGTTGAAATTAATCCTTTGCAAAATGTGTGAAACTGGAAAAAAAACACAAATTTGTATTTGAGACTGCAGAAATCAATCTGAAATCAGGTTTTTAAAAAGCTTTAAGCCCAACGCAATGCGCAATGGTTCATTTTTGCTTTAATAGGGCACAAACATTTGCGGCGCTTTTATGAATTGCATTCATGCATACATATAGCATGTGTATACAATAGGTCATTTTTTCAATCAAAATTAAATCACATCAAGCAATAAGTTTTAATTAATAAATAAAATATTAAAGGAGCAATTTTGAGCTATTTGAAATCCAACAAAAGAAAATCAAAGACATAAATATTAAATTGATAAATGAATACTTGGAAATGAAGAATAGTCGTAAGATTGAGCAACTAGTTAGAAATTATTAGGTAGGGGTAGTATGAACTGAGAGAGCTTGAATGAGGCATTGACAAGCATTATTGAGAAGAAGTTTATGAGCGAGAAGTTAGTGCCCACAATAAAAACTGCTGAGAAGAGTCAAAGAAAACTACCAAGCAACATAGAGTGATGAGAAGAACAACCAAGAAAATAATAGTTCCAGCTAGAGAGAATAGAGAATCAACAAACAACAATTTATTGGCTATGAGAAATAACAAAAATAAACAAATGTTTGTGCCTTATTATTGCGACAATGCTAAATTGAAACATAAGATTTGAACCAGGATTTCCTTGTTCCAGGGCCAAGCTCACATCGCTACAACATGACGCCCGTGCAAGCTTGCATTTCACAGGCAAACAATGCGCAGGACTAGCATATCACTTTACTTCATTACTAAAGCGTGTTTTTAATAACACTGTTGGGAGTTATGTTTACAGAATGATTTCAGATAATCCTATAATCCTTAAAAGTTTTTAAGAAAAGGGTTGGTTTCGCCTCTTTGAAGGTGCTCATTATAATCCTTTTGTGGATTAAAGTGCTTCCTCTTTGCAGTTTGTACATTTCTTTTATTACTGCAGTTTTTGTAAACCTTTTTTTGGTCATGTTATTGTTTTGAAACAATCTGCTGCTAATAGTTTTACATTGCTTTTATCTTACTGACGTTTCAGAAATGAATGCACTATTCAACCGACTTTGTGTTAACTATGAAGGGAAGGTATGCAAGTTTAAATATATCCTTTTAAAAATCTTGCAGTTTCATATATATCATATTTTTTTGTCAGTTGAAGTTGATTAGCAAGCATAAAGGTGTTCTTCACAAGGTTTTGCTTCAAGTACGCCAGGTAAATTGATCTGTTAAGTTTCTATGTGAATAATATTTATCTGAAGAATTTCTGAAGTTGTAAATAATATTCTATAATGATCTTCATAAAATTTAATTTTTAATTATTCGTTAATTAAACTATTGTCCAGCCTAAACTAATTTCCAAATTTAATTTAGATATTTTGCAAGAATGATTGTGAGGCATTTCAGTGCTTGTATTCATGCTACTTATGCCAATCGAATCTATAGATGCAACCATAATCATGCTTTTGATAGTTTTGTAATTTTATTTTCTTATGCTGATGATGCCCAAGGGAATGTTTTTTTTTTTTTTTTTTCTATGGCTTCTATGCACTATTATATGTTTATGTTTTGCTGCTAGGTATAAGCCTCACTTATTACCGAGTTTCTTATTTTCAACTTATAACAGGCGTATGAGAGATTTGAAGCCTCTTCAATAATTGATACTGATGATGCCCGGCTTGAATATTTTTCTAAGAAGGTTAGTTTCTACACTATTATTATTGTAGTTGATGAAGGCCTTAGAGTGCTTCATTTTGGTGCTATGCATGCTTAAATGCTTTTGGAGAACTCATCTAACAATTTCTGGGTAAAATTCGATGATGCATGAAGCTCTTGATGAGTGGGAATAGCTGCAATTGTTTAGACATTTCGTTAGTCATGTGAAGGAAGTTGAATTTGACTTAGGTATTTGATATATTTATCATTGTAAATGGGCAAAAGAAGGAAAAACAGTCATGTCCGCCATATTTCATTTTTCTTAATTTAAGACAAAATGCTCTTATATTTGTATCTCAGTTTTAGTTAATTATTAGAACAATGATCCTTTTCACAGTTTTTGAAATTCATGGATATGAAATTGATCGTGATTTATCAATTGTGATAAAATGGCTTCATAGGATTAGAAACCTTGGATAAAATTATACATACTAATGATGGTATAGATGTCCCGAGTAATAAGATTAAAGTTGGTATGTAAGATATAGAGCTAAATTTTAATTTTCGTTTCATTCTCATCTTACAAGTTTCAGTTTCACATTATTTGTTAGTTTATATTTTTAAAAAACTTCAAAATATTTAATAAATCTATTTTTAAAATATAAAATTTTAATAGCTTTAAAATCATAATTATAATATTTTTGGATTGATTGAGTTTTTGTGTTGAGACTTGAGATGTGGGATAAATTTCTCTACTTAAGTTTTACAAGTTTCTTACATATCACCCTCTACCTAGCCACTACAAGTTTGTTGTCACGCCTCACGTAGACCTTACTACAAACACTCTACACGAAGTGCAACAATTAAGAGACTTTAAATCATTTTCAATAATACTACTTTGCATTTCAATACAATTTATGTCCTTCAAATTACAACAGGTATAAAGGAAAATTTAAAACATCGTTCATAAGCGGAAGATGTCCAAAATTTTATTTCCAGAAATTTTCGTCTACAAAGCAACTAAAAGAAAATCATAACATGATATTATTCACAGCCTACTAACCTTAAACCAGGCCTTTCTTATATTGACAAAAATAAACATAAAATAAAAACTGAATCTGTCACTATTCTTGCACAACCTTATCCTTCCTCTTTCCTGTAAGAACAACCAAAACAATAATCTCGTGAGTTACAATGCCCAAAAAGTTTTGCAATTCTAATATAGTAATCAAGTATAGGGAAAACAATATTTAACATGAGCATTAACAATTGAATGTAAGAAAACCGTCTATAATTTTTTTAACATAAATTTTGTACAATAGTTTATAATGTATTAGGTGAACATATTGCTACCTATTAGAGCTATGTAGAATGTTATATTATTATCACTACATTAGGCTAATTTCATTTCATATGAAAATGATACATTGCATGTAAATACTCCATTGTCAGTTGTTTTCCAATGTGTACATCAAACCATCGATTAAAAAGGCGTTCGAGACGGACGCCTTGAGGCGCGCCTCAAATCGAGGCGGAGGTCAAGCAAACTGAGGCTTAAGCCTCGAACGTCCGGGCGAGGCTTACGCCTTTTTCCACGGAGGCGTACGCCTCAATATGAGAGGCGCCGAGGCGCATCGAGTCAGCGCCTCGAATGGGAGAAATTTACCTTCAAAGCCAGCGAGCCAATGAGCTCCCGTTGTTTCTTCTTATCAAAATGTCTTAATTTATGATCCGACAGGAAGGGAAAGTCGTCGAAGGAGCGCAGTCGAACAGCCACAAAGGAGCCAAAGAAGCGACGCGTGTAATCTCTACACCTCTTATGAAGCAACAAAGCCGAACAACAAGGACGAAAAGAGAAGATAAAAGGCAAACCCTAGACGCAGCTAAGTTATTATTGATTAACTTAATTAATATAATTTAAATATTAATAATTAAGCAAATTAATTAAATACTTAATAGTATAATTAGTGCATAAATTAATTGACTAATTAGTAATATAATTATTAATTAAATATTAATATAATTAGCCTAGTTAATATAAATTAAAATATATATTATTAAATATATAATTAATAGTATTAATAATAATTATTGAGTAGCTTGTACCGTTCAGTACATGCTCGGTACCGAGCCAGTACCGCTCGGTACTGAGCAGTACATGCTCGGTACCACTAGGTACACGCTCGGTACCAAGCCAATACCACTAGGTACATGCTCGATATTGCTCAGTACATGCTCGGTACCGAGCCAGTACCGCTCAGTTCCAAGCTAGTACCACTCAGTACCGAGCGGTATATGCTCGGTACCGAGCGGTCCATGCTCGGTACCGAGCGGTACATGCTCAGCACTGTTAATTACTTTATTTTTATCATTTTTTAGGCTTACGCCTCGATCCGCCTCGAGGCTTACGCCTCGCCTCGCTTAGCCAAAACGCCTCGATTCCCGATTTCGCCTTTTAAAACGTTGTATCAAACATTATGATAGATAATCAGAAATAGATTTATGTTCTTTCATAATTCTCATTTCAGCCTCAGAATATGTCATGTCTAGATGCCTAAATTTAAGTCTATAGCCCCCATAAGCTCATGAGGTCGCACTGCCTCAATCACCCGTAGGCTTCATATCATACCAAGGTCGCGCTTCTTCTATCAGGTTCACTACCCCCACCTGCGTATTAGCAAACATGACATTTTTTTCAGGCTTACCTGATCGTTATTTTTTCCTTCAAGTGTTGTGTGACACTTTACTTGATGTGAAACATAAAGCAGTTGCAGGAATTGCAGTGAAATAATAAAAAGTTATTAAGCTTGCTAATTAAAATTTAATGTTTCACAAGATTAGATTCTAGGATTTCTCAGTTAAAGATGAAATAATAGCATGTAGTTATAATATAAAGTAGGGAGTAGGGAGAATTTAAAATAAGAACAAAAGCATTAGGTGCTTAATTTTTCAATTACAAGAATTCACCGGTTAACAATTAAAACGGTCGCCTTGAGTTTATCTCACTGATACTCTCAAGTAGTTCAGCTGAAGAATAATTTACACAATACTAACAATGCCACCACAAGATAGCAAACACTTACGATATTGCTCAATGAAGAGTTATTTGGAGAGGAGATAGCCGTTGGGTGTTGGAGGATCTGCCACTAAAGGGGAAGTTGATTCTCGTCGATGGTGTTTTTCAAGGTGAAGAAGATCCGATCTATGTAGTTTTCAACGAAGTGGTCGATCTCGAAATCGATGTCAAAGAAAGGGAGATGAAGAACATCTACTCGTCCTTGAGGGTCATACACGAATCCATGATCATGCTCTGGATCGGCCATTCATGAGTAAGAAGGCTGAGGGAGGTTGTTTGTCTTCTTCCTTAAATGACATATCAATCATGGGAGAAGAGGTGTAAGGGAGGAGAATTGATGAGGGCTTTGATTGGGTTCCAAAGAGGGAAAGAGAAACAATGTATCAGAGAGGGAAAGAGGGAGGGGCCGACGGCTTTGTTGGGGGGAATTGGGGTTTTTGAGGGGAAGAGTTAATGCTTGCTTTATTTAGAATCCTAAAATAGGAACAAATATTTTAAATCCAATCCTATTTAAAATTCAAATAAGCATGTTTCAAGGGACTTTCCTAAAATATGGCTCCTTATTTAGGAAACAAAATTCAAATTCAAATATATTTGAATCTGAATTAAAATTGTTTCCAAAGTTAAAGGGGATAAATTAGGAAGGGTTTAGAATATTCGATTTTGAATTTTTGGAGCCAAGGGAGGGGTTGGTAGGCAGCTTAGGGGAGAGAATTAGGGTTAGAGCCGGCGGTTAGGGTTATGGCTAGGGGTGGAGACTTTGGGCCGACGACTATGGGAGGGGGAAGGGCCTTTGTCGCCGATGGTTTGGAGAATGGAGGGTTTGGGTCGGCGGTTTAGGGAGGGGGGGGGAAGGGGAAGGAGAGGAGTAGTTTCGGCTAGGAGGGTGGAGGAAAGGAAGGGGGAAGGGGGAAATCGAGAGCTCAGACTCTTCGTGCGACTGGTGGGAGTTGCTTTGCCCTCACCTAGGGACTTCTCCTTTGTAGAGCTCTCAACATTCCAGAGAACACGAATGCAAAAAAAATTTCATTAATCATCCTCATACAATAGCAAAGGCCTATGTATATAGGCCTCAAAATAAAAGAGACTCGAATACTAAAATGCCATCGGGCTACAACACAAACTAATCTCGCATAGGGGTATAATGTGAAAGACTAAAATATAAGCATAAGAAATACATAAAATTCATCATAAAATATACTCTTAATCATAGCCGTCGATCTACGGTTCCTCCTGTGGTAGACGCGCCAGAATCTCTTGTTGATACCCTCATCATTACTATATATATATATATATATTATATTTATATATATTATATTATTATCAAGGAAATCAATATTGTTGCATTTTAATATTAGTATATAATACTGGATAGTTTCATGTCTTTTTTATAAAATTACAACACAGCAGCATATAAAACAACTCCCATGCTCACAAAGAATGACATGTGGAAATAATGATACATTACAGTTTCATACTAATTACAACATGTAGAAATGCAGAGCTATGATGCACCTCCTCTGTCACGACCCGGCCGGAAGCTCGATCTAACGAGGCGGGGTACGGAAGTCGACGATAAAGATCTACAACAAATTAAACAATAATAACTCCACGCACAATCAATATGAATAAGACGAGAAACAACAACTACCTATTATTACCTGTTGTCATTTGCACATCGTCTTCTGTATATGTTCTTCTCTTTCAGCCATTATTTTTCCTCTAGGAACTTTTCCTGAAATATTTTAAACTTGTGTTTGAGTTTACTAAGTTAATACTCAGTGGGTAACTATATATAAATTTATCTTATAATATAACATTTAACATATATTCCTATCTCTATTCTTAATCTTGTTTCTTCTTCAATTCCATTAACTTAATACTTCTTCTTTGAATATTTTCATTTAAAATAATTTGAAGCATTTGTTATCTTTAATATTTCATTTATATTTCATTTTCCCGTTTAA